TTTCGTAACAACACGCTACTATGATGAAGCCCCACTTGATGAATTCGGTAGATAAATCACAAATTTTTACTATTGTTGATTATTTGTAAAAATAGTAAAATTATTATTAGACAAACTAAATATTGATATAAATATGACATTTTCAGTATAAACTCGTCTTTATGTTAAAAAAAAATATAACGAGTCGACCCACTTAACTGTTAGTTTGCCTCGCAAATTTATGATTATTAAATTTTAATGATGTCTGAGATAACCTAATCATTAAGCAGATCGATTTGTCATTCTATTTGAAAAAAAAAAAATGTATACTAATAACTTATGATTATTCAGTTTTTTACGATATTTTATGATTAAAGTAAGCATATTTGTAAAAGAACAAAAAAAAAATAAGCGTTTTAAAAATGATTTTGTTTTGTTGAAGGTTTAAAGAGAGAACCAAAATTCGGGCACTTGAGGGACTTGCACAGGGCATTGAGGTTGAGCAAGAAGCCATTGCTTTGGGGCACTCCACACGTGCACAAGATTAGTGAGGACTTAGAGGTAAATTATGAGCTAATTAACTTTTTTAAATAGTGATTTAAGAAAATAATATTATTTGATTATTAACAAATTAAATATATATGTTTTTTTTTTTTAATATGTAAATATTAGATCACGACTTATGAGAAGGAAGGAACAAAAATTTGTGCTGCATTTTTGACCAACAACAATTCAAGGGAAGACGCGACTATTAATTTCAGAGGCGTTGACTATTTCTTGCCAGCTAAATCTATCAGCATTTTACCCGATTGTCGCACTGTGGTTTTCAACACACAAACGGTAGTATTTCGGGAGATGCTACGGTCACGTTACAGAATCATTCCATTGATATTTGTAACTGTTAGATCATCATGTAACCGTCGGGATAGTTAATTTAACGGTTACAAATTATACGAAATGGTTCCGTAACCTGACCGTAGCATTTCCCAATAATTTCACACACAATTAAAAAATAAAAATTATTATTATATTCGCCTTTTCGTCTCACATTATTTTCAAACGAGGCAATTTATTTATTTATTAAAAAAAAAAAATCTTAAGTTTTGTGATTTTTATTAGGATTAATATATATTGTTCTCTTTATAGGTTGTTTCACAACATAGCGCGAGAAACTTTGTACCCTCAAAGAAAGCAAAGATCAGTAAATGGGAGATGTACAAAGAAAGCGTGCCAAGCCCACACGACTTAGAGATAAAGAGCAAATCACCAAAGGAATTGTACCAACTCACTAGAGATACCTCAGATTATGCATGGTATAGTACAAGGTATGCAATGTTTGTTGGTCTATCGTATTGTTTAGACGGTAGGTATTCTATTAGGTCGATTTAACCGTTATACATACGTACTATTTCGCAAATGCAAATATGCATTTTTAGTCTTGTTAGTTTTATGGCATACTAATTTTAGTCACAAGATTTCAATTTTCGTCTTTTAGTCATGTGATTTAATATTTTGCAGCAATTTCCTCAAGATACTTAAATGGCAAAAAAAAAAATAAAAAATTATAAGACTTAAATTACTAATAAAAAATATGGTAATTTGAGAAAATGTGCAATTTCACATAAGAGAAAAATCGAAATGTTTGAACATTGAGACAAAAATTGCTAAGGTATTAAACCAGTAGAACTAATAATGCAGTTTTGCTTTTCGCAAACATATATATTTTCATTGAAAAAATGTTGCATGTTTAAAAATGACACAGATAAAAGTACGACATTTGATAGTATAATAAGTATGTATTTTTGTTCATGTAGTATGACGTGCTGACCCCGCCTAACTGTTAGGTTGTTACACACAATATTTTTTTTT